ACGCAAACCGAGCCGAGTCATACCACGCAGTGGAAAAGCGCCATTGGAGTCCCACTATCCTAAAGAGAGAGCCACCAATCAGAGAAGTTGCCGTTATATAAACGGGAATATCGCACACTCCAACCAGTCACCCACACTCAAATTTTTTGTATTAGGAAGTGGATCATGTGACAGCCACATCCTGCAATTTCATTGGTTGTAGCTGTGTATTTGCATAAAATTTAACTTATAGCCAAGGGTCTCTGGTGTTTAGTGTGCCTCATCACCCACTCTCATTAAAAATGAATGACTTCTGGTTGCTTTGTTGCTGCACATCACTGTCAATATGAATGTCCCTTAAAGAAATACTTCACCCAAAAAGGAAAATTAATTTTCTTTTTATGTGGTGTGTGTCTTTAAAGTGGAGATTTCCTGTATTTTTAATAAGTTCCTGGTTATTGCTGTTTTCTAAAGAGATAACATTTCAGTACATTTGTTACTTAAACCTAATACTGTGTTTTGTTAAATATATAACTATATAAAATAGTTTTCTTTATTTGTAATGAAGCTGAAATAAAAGAAAAATGTAATGAAAACCTTAAACTTTACAAATGTAAACAAAAATGAGAAATGTTGTCTTGAACTAAATGAAATAAAATGTTTAATTTGAAGTACTAAAAGTGAAATGAAAAAAAAAAAACGAATAAAGATGACAAAAGCACATAACAAAGTTGCTTAACCTACAGTTTCTCTCCTAAAAGAGAACTGAGAAAAAATAAATAAAAGCTAATTTAAAATATTAATAAATAATATAATACTATACACATAATCCTAAAATAACCCTGGTGTGGCACCTGTTATGGGGACTGTATCACGAGATAACTGACAATAGTCAGCTCTAAGGTGCAGTAGTGATTTCTGTACTACTAGTAGCACCAATAAGAATTTAAATTTGTTTTTGTGTAACTTGTTTGCCCCATTACTCTGTTGTATATATCAACCTATAACAAGCACCATCTCTTTCTCTGCATGTAGGCTTGAGGCGGAGCTGGAAAAGCAGCATAAGGGAAATGGCTCTGGGGAATCCATGTTGTTTTCCACACCTTGTTGGAACATGAGCTCTCCCTGGGACAACAACGGTAGCATCCTTCACGCTCAGTCCATTCCTTTTTCTCACTTTTTTGTCTCTGACTCTACTTCAAAGAATGCAAAATGTATCCCCTGATTAAGTAGGGGAAAGAGTGTTGGCATTGTACCATGCAAGAGTGGACTGATTGCATGGTACAATGTGTGATTGCATTGTCTCATTCTGATTTGATCTTTGTGTGCATGTTCGTATGTTTTTTAGCATATGGGATGCATCTAGAAAGATCTATTCATCATTATTCTTTTGCTGTTGTTATAACCTGTTTAACTCTTCAGGTGGTTTCAGAGTGGAGAGTGAAAGCAAAACACAGCATGCCAGAGTAAGTCACGTATATTTTTAAGAGCAACCTCTTAATAAGAAATATGTTGTTTATGAATATAATTCCTGACTCATTTGTCTGTGATCTGTCTGTTGTAGCAGCAGCTGCAGTTTGGAGACGTCCCCAAGCCATCGGCGGGCGGGGCTACCTCCCCGTTTCCACAGCAACCTCATAAATCCCCACCCCTTCGGCAACACATCCGTCAATCGGAACCGTCCACCCCCTCCTCTTTGTTTCCATGGGAACGTGAGAATTTGTGGTCCACTCCCAAAGGACGACCAGCTTCCTCGGTTTCATCCAGTGATGTCATAATCAAGAACAGTGACTCAGGGATGGAGGAAGCCTTGAGGAATGAGATAGATGGTGAGCTTCTCCACAAACTATTGGGGTTTCAGATGTTTTGCACTGAAAAGCTGAATTTTAATCAGATTTTCAGGCATCCCTGAGTAAAATGAAACCAGGAAGCTTTTTGCAACCAGCCCAGAGTCTTTTACAATGCGCTTTATTGCTTAAATTCTAAAGCACAGATTGAGTTACATTTCTCTTCCTGGGTTGTTTGAATCCAGGACATTTGCTTGTCTGCTCTGTAATAATCATAAATGAAAGCAGTCTAAAGTCACTATTTACAGTGTGTTGGCATGGCAGCCAATGAGATCAACCTGGTCAGTGGCATGAGCAGATTTGTGTAGTATTTGCATGTTTAAGGAGGGAAGAGATTTTTACAGCAGTCGTAGCTTCAGATTGTGCTGGAAATAAATTGGTTGCATACCTACATTTGCCATAAGAATGTGTGTGTTTAAGCTTAAGGTAGTTTAAGGAAATGAAGTGTAGTTTTATTTATTTTGTACAGCTCTGTTTGCCCATTAACCAAGGGAGAGTATCATGTTTATTCATTGAATGTCAGGTGTATTTACATAAGCATCCTGATTATTAGTGGGTGAAGTAGTCAGGCTTCCAATAATAATATCCC